CTAATATGTGGCCTGTCCTAGAAAATGTTCCATGTATACTTGAAAAGAATATATATTCTGCTGATTTGAGGTTAAATTCTCTGAAAACAATTCTATCAGTCTGGTTCAGTATGTCATATAAGGCTGCAGATTTTCTGTCTGAAAGATCTATCCATGTCACTGGGGGATTAAAATCCCCTACTATGACTGCATTATGATCTCTTCGTTTAGGTCCATCTGAATTCCTATATATTCAGGTGTTCCTGTGCTGGGTACATAGTGTTTACAAGGGTTACCTCTTGTTCCCCAGATCCCTTTATCATTATGTGATCTCCTTTGTAGCTTATTTGTAGCCTTTGTTTTAAAGTCTATTTCGACTGCTATAAGTACTGCTATCCTAGATTTTCTTCATTTCCATTCGCATGAAATATGTTTTCCATTTTTTACTTTTAGTCAATATCTGTCTTTTGTTCTGAGGTGGGTTTCTTATAGACAACATATATAATATATATTTTGTTGATTGGAGCATTGAATCCATTTACATTGAAAGTGATTATTGACAGATAAATATTTACTGCCATTTTACTACACATTTATGTTCCTCTTGTTTAAATTTCTTCTTCTTAAATTAGTCCCTTTGACATTTCTTATAACTCTAGTTTAATGGTAATGAATGCCTTTAAGTTTTTCTTGTCTGGGAGCTCTTTATTTCTCCTTCAATTTTAAATGATAGCTTTGTTGAGTAGAGTCATCTTGGTTGTAAGGTCCTTGCTTTTTAACACTTTGAATACTTTGCAATTCATTCTGGTCTGAGATGTTTCTATTGAGAAATTACTTAATAGTCTTATGGGATCTCCCTTGTAGGCAACTAACTGTATTTCTCTTGCTGCTTTTAAGATTCTTTGACTCTAACCTATACCATTTTAATTAGGATGTGTTTTCAGATGGGCCTCTTTGGGTTCATCCTGTCTTCACAATTGCTGACTTGATCCTCTGATTCACCTATTCTATTATTGATTACTTCTGGTATATTCTTCATTGCTGACTGGTTCTTTTTAATGGTTTCTATATACTTTTTAATACTTGCTATCTCTTTGGAAGCCCTAAGTTCCTGAGCATCCTTATAATCATAATTTTGAACTCCATATCTGGCAATTGCCAGCCTCCATTTCTTTTGGTACTTTTTCTAAGAATTTCTCCTGTTCTTTCATTTGGGACATATTTCTCTGTCTCCCCATTTTGGCTGACTCTCTGTATTTGTTTCTGGGTATTGGCTAGATCTGTTATGTCTCCAAGTCTTTGTAAGATGGTCATATGTAGTAGGTATCCTGTAGGTCTCAGTGGTGCAGTCTCCCTAATCACCTCAGCTGGGTGCTCTAGTAATGTCCCTTGTGTGGGTTATGTGAGCCTTCCTGTTGTAGTTTAGTCTTGATTGCTGTTGGCCATCCATTGGCTGGCTGACTGTGAAGACTGACACCAACTACAGTGTATCAGCTGATGTGTGGGGGCTGACCCCACAAAACAGAATTCACTCCAGCATGTCTGGTGCCTGCTCAGATCTCCCGTTGGGTGGTTGGGTGTTCTACCTGTGGAGCTAATCAGGTCATCCTGGATCGGGTCTATAGCCCACCATCGGGTGGTTGGTTCTCAGGCGTCTTGGGATGGGCTCTTGTGCAGGTCAATGTGAGATGCTGTGACTGGCTGTGGGGTACCTGTTAGGAGCTATAAAGCAATCCACAGTTGGTGGCTGGCTCTGCTGGGCCTAGGTGTACATACTGAGGCTGGCTTCCACCAGAAGCAAGCCTGGGACAGGTCAGCAAGAAGTCCAGGTACCCCAAGATTCACCTCCACCTGCCTATTGGGCTCAGGCATTGAAAGAGCCTCTGGCAGTACACAAGCTGTGTGAGGCAGGTTCTGAGTCATCAAGTAGGGGCAAGCGGTATTTACTAGGTTGATATAGATTCAAACTCTGTACCAGTGCTGGTTCTCAGTCCACTCAGCAAAAATCTGAAGGCACACCAAGGACCTTTGTGGCAGAGTATGGTCTAACAGATTTGTCAGGGTGGAGCCAGAAAAGTGTATCAGGCTAAAAAAGATTAAGATTTGTTCACCTGGAGGGAGAGCTCTGAACTGGAAAGGTGGCACCAGTTGAGGCATGCACCAGGAAAAGAAGTTCTTGCCCTAAAACAACAAAACCCGGTCTCTCCCTGTGCGCATCTCTCACATTCCTAGTCTGCTGAGGCCTCCTTGAGGGCCTTCTGAGAAAGACTGCAACTCAGGTCCAGCCTGGCCACAGCCAGCAGAATCCCTGAAGGATGCCAGCTTGGCAAGGTGGTGCTAGAGTGAGTAGGAAGGGTGCAGATAGTACATCTCCTTAAGGTGATGTGGTGGAGGGGCAATGCCTGCTGAATACATGGGAAAATTGCCCCTCACCCTAAAGCCACTCCACTCAGTCCTCCCTGTGCGTCTTATCTCTAATACCCTGAGTCTGCTGAAACTTCCAAGAAAGTCTGCAATGGGAGCCCAGGCTGGTTGCAACTAGCTTATTCCTACACAGGACGCAAGCTTGGTGGGGTGAAGCTACGGGGAGTCAGAAGTGTAGGACTAGTGCATCCCCCAAGCTGATGTATGGAGATGAGTGCTCAATCCAGGAAAGATGGCAAAATTTTAGAACAAAAAACTTCCGGTTACATAGTGAAAACTTGGGAAAATAGTGAAAAAAAAAGTCTAAAACTTACAAACTTTATCAGAGTTTCTAGCCTGGCATAACAAAGTAGTGGATATAAAGGAGTTCAGCTTAATATACTATTTTCTTAATAAGTTATTACTAAACTACTATTTGAATCATTATCACAAAGAATCAGGCTGTCTAATTAATTGTCAGCAACAGTCACAAATACCCCTAAATCAAGGGTATCAAACTCATTTTCACCAGGGGCCTACACCAGCCTCGCCTTGCCTTCAAAGGGCTGAATGTAATGTTAGGACTGTGTAAATGTAACTGCTCCTTAACAGTTAAGTGAGAGCTCAGTGCTGCCGCCAGGTAGAAACAAGGTGTTGGTCCAGACAAAACAAGATGGAGGGCCCGATGCGGCCTGGGGGCCTTGTGTTGGCCACCTGCGCCCTGAATGAAATTCAGCTGACTAAATTCATATTCAGTGATATTTTTAAAGCATGTAATGTTTTCCTCCATATCTATCTCCCAAAATATAACAGCCACTTGATTCTTTCATATTTGAGCACGTTAAAACAGGAAAATCTTCTAGAGAAGGGACTTGCAGTACATTATTTTATTTATCTTACAGTGCCTGGCACTTTACATGAGGGGTGATCAAAAAAAACCAGGAATATATTTATTAAAAAATTGTATTTTGTCTTACATGTTTAAACTTCAGTCACCTTCAGAGTACTTTTCATTTGATGAAATATACCTATCAAGACATTTTTTCCACTGCTCAAACAGTTTGAACTTGTTGATTTTGATGCCTTTTAATGCTTTTGCCGTTTTTTGTTTCACCTCTTCCACATAAGTAAAATGTTTTCCTTTGAGGACTTTTTTCATCCAGGAAAACAAAAAAGTTGCTCAGGGTGAGATTGGGTGAATAGGGAGGGTGGGGCACAGGGGTCATGTCATTTTTGGTCAAAACTGCTGAACACTCAGCACAGTGTGGTCAGATGCACTTGTAAATCACCCATCATGAAATAGGCAAATGCACTGAAAGTCTTCAAAAAAGTCACAGAAGCTGAGCACAGCCCCTCACAACAATGCCAGCTGGTTCACTGATACACACGGGTTCCTAGAACACTCACCTAGAAGGGAAACCTGTACTACAAGGGGCCCACCCTCCAGAAGATAATTCCAGGGGGGTTTTTGGTTCCTCCTAGTACAATACCATTATAAATGTTCAGTAAATATCCATGGCTTGTGAATAAAACAACATACTCTGGATATTTGTTTTAACAGATGTTGTGTTTTCCTATAGTTTGCTTAAATAGCCTCCCATTGACCACACAAATACTAGAGTAATATATCTCTAAAAAGTAGCTCAGGGCTCATCACTCTCTCCCTTCAATGGCTTCCCAATGCCTATTCTTCTTTGTCTGAGTAAGTTATACTAATACTTCAAAGCCCAACTTAGTTATTCCATGACTCCCTTAGACTGGAGGTGCCTTTCCTGCAATGTTCTCACTATGCCCAGAGTTTAATTACCACAGAAACTATAATGTATTTTAATTGTCTGCTAGGTTGCACATTTCCCATTTAGATCAGTGCTTCTCAAACTTTCTGGTCTCAGGATCTTTACATACCATTAAAAATTATTTAATTCGGATGATCTTTTGTGTGTGTGGAGTATATCTATTAATATGTATCATCAGAAACTAAAAACCTGAGAATTTTTAAAATATTAATTATTTTAAAGTGATAATAAATCCATTACTTATTAATATAAATGACATTATTATAAAAAATAACTTTGCTTTTCCACATCAAAAATTTAATGAGTGTATTTTTTAAACATTTTTGCAAATGGCTTTAGTGGAGAATAGCTGGATTTTCATATCTGCTTTTGCTTCTCATCTATTATATGCCACATGTCTTGTAGCCTCTATAAAACTCCACTGTACACTTTTAAGCGAAATGAGAGTGAAAAAGGTAAGTAATGTCTTGATATTGTTATGAAAATAGTTTAGCCCTTGAAGACCTTTTGCAAGGATCTTAAAGACCCCTGGTATACCAGACCAAATCTCTAGAATCTTTTTCTAAGTAGTAAATTCCTTGAAAACCATGCATTCCTTTTCTTTGTACCCTCAGAACCTGAAGTGGGACACAATTCACAACAAGTATACTATAAGTACTTTCTGAGTGCAAAAACAAATGGAGAAATAATGTGGATGAGCAGATTATAAATAAAGTCAGGCTACCTTCGAGTCCATTCATTGAGTGTTTCCAAAGTATTAATCTACACAAAGTTCAAAAAGGAAATATAATAGTTGTGAGACAGTAATTAAATATCAATTACCATCCATCTGAATGAGTAGCTCAGACTTGACTCTGCGACTTGCTTCATGCTCATCAGAGGTCCCTCTTCGACTGCAGATAGAATCTATCTCATCAATGAAGATTGTGGTTGGGGCATAAAATCTAGCCTTTGTGAAAACATTTTAAAGGAATCAGTTGATTATCTCATAAAATAGTCTTAATTTTTTAAAGTGCTACTTCCTCCTTCTAAAATCATAGTTAAAGAACAGCAGAAGTTTCTCACTGCTTTAATGCCACCATTTAGGTATTGACAGAGGTTAAATCAGTCATTCATATCAAAAAAAGTATATTTCTAAAAATAAAAGTTATATGCTTGGTGAAGTTTGGGGACTGATATATAGGAAATCATGGTACTATCCTTTTCACTATTGTATTTGAAAATTTCCATAATACAAAACATTTTTAAAAGATAAATCATCAACCTCTTTTCTCAAATATAAATTCTTAAGTAACTATTACAAATCCCTTATGAAAAAGAACCAACTTTAATGACAGATCAATTTCTGATTTTTAAAATACATATTAAAATAGACTTCTGCTCAACCAGCTCATTAGAGATCCAGAAATGTCAGTCACACCACACACATTTCCAAAGTCTCTTCTAGCTTCACTGGACAGGATGCCAAAGAGCCTTCCTTTTCCTCAGAGCGGAAGATACATTAGAGATACATGAACAATTCCAGAAACCCCACTACCCCATATCCTATTAGTGTGTTGAGAACTATGACACTTGCCCTAGATGAATGGATCTAGATTAGAGGGTTATCATTGCTTATATCAACAGTCCTTTGAAATCTAAACATATCTCACTCACCATTTCAAACAGCAGACGGACTAACTTCTCGGATTCACCTCTATACTTGGATGTCAGTGTAGAAGAGGAAACGTTGAAGAATGTTGTGCCGCATTCGGTGGCAACAGCTTTAGCTAGCATGGTCTTTCCAGTGCCTGGGGGTCCAACCATCAGCACACCCTGAAATTTCAAAAGATGTAGTAAATGATTTATCATAGTAAAATGCTTTCTTATAAAATATCAATGTATAGGGAAATCTTTTCTGTATCATTTCAGAGATTAAAAAAATGAAGAGTGATTTCACAGAATGTCTCAAATCAGAGGTACTCAATGAGATGGGCTAAACAAAGGGTCTAGACAACAAGGAATCCTCTGATACATTTTGAAAGAACCTCCCCAATGTTCCTAAACCTGGCAGAAGATAAATATGCATAGCTTTAAATACCACTCAAGATTGACTGCTTTGTGTAAGCAAAATGAAAAGACAAGAAAACCTATCTTCCATAACACATTTAAAATATATAGCATTTAATAAACAATAAAGATCCATTTATCAGTTAATACAGTAACTAAAATCTAGTGGTAATTCAAGCATAATCAAAGTGGCTAGCATTTTATCAGTTTAATGTGCCAGGTAATAGTTTACATAAAATACTGTTATATGGTGAAAGAGCCACTAAATGTAGACTAAAAACTAAACTAGTTATTTCTCACCTTTAAAAATAGGGAGAAAGTTATTCTTTCAAAATAAATCAATAAGGAGTAAAAATTATTTGAGAACACTAATCCTCGTGCCTTGAAGATTAATAGATTCTTTTTTTTAATTACTGTATTTTTCCATTACCATTTATCCCCTTTTTATCTTCCACCCCCTACAGTCACCACACTGTTGTCCATGTCCATGAGTCCTTTTTCCTTTTTGCTCCATCCCTCCACCCCATAACACAGCCCCCCAGAGCTTTCAGCCTGCTCTCTAACTATGAGTATGTCTCTATTTTGCTTCTTAGTTTAGTTTGTTCACTAGACACCACGTATGAGTGAAATCATATGGTATTTGTCTTTCTCCGACTGGCTTATTTCACTTAGCATAATGTTCTCCGGGTCCATCCATGCTGTAACAAAGGGTAAAATTTTCTTCTTTTTTACACCCAAACAGTATCCCATTGTTTTATTCACTCATGTACTGATAGACACTTGAGCTGGTTCTATATTTTCGCTATTGTAAATAGTGCTGCAATGAACATAGGCGTGCTTATCCTCTTTTGAATTAGTGTTTCGAGTTTCTTCGGATACAGACCAAGTGCTGGCAAGGATGTGAAAAAAGGGGAACACTTTTGCAGTGTTGGTGGGAATGCAGACTGGTGCAGCCACTGTGGAAAGCAGTATGGAAGCGGCTCAAAAATTAAAACTGGAACTGCCTTATGATCCGGCAATTCGACTTCTGGAAATTTATCTGAAGTAACTCCAAACACTAATGGATTCTTAAATGCTTAATTCACTGGCCATTTCTAGTGGGAGCTCAGAAGCACAGCAGTTTGTGATCTTAAATTAATTCTGACCCACTTGTTAATTTAGTTTAATAAGCTGGGAATTTAAACATTACAAACTATGTGCATATCCAAGTGTCGTAAACTAAAATCAGAAACCGGCCAAACTCCTAGCTATAGAATGTTGACACCCAAACAAACTGGGATCACCAGGATCTGAAACACTAGTTTTATTAAAAACTTTGTGCTTTGTAAGGAGCCTTTAACTGTGAATGAGAATGCTATTTTGAAAACTGCAAAATCAATCAAAGGTATGGGCACAGCTATAACCAAGCTCATACTTCTCTTTCTAATGCCTCCTCCCTTTTCCAACATTAGACATTGCACAGTATTTATACTTTCACCTATACATTTGATTATTTCCTCTAGTTCATTCTCTATTTGCTCTTTCCCCTTGGTATATAAACATACTTAAATACATTCCTTTAAAAAAATTCCTCTGTTTAACTCTACAGATCCTCTACTGTCCACCTCTCCTCCCCTTCTCAGCCAACCTTCTTAAAGAAATGGTTTAAGCTTACTGTTGCTTCTTCAGGAGCTGTAATCTGCCGTCTGCCACTACTACTCCACTAAAAATATCTAATTTACTAATCCGCCAGCCACTTTTCAACTAGCATGTTCTTTCTTTCTCTCTAACCTTTGATGCTGATAGTTTGTATTCAGTCCCTTCTTCCTGCAACACTTCCTCTCTGAATTGGTTCTGTGATACTGCCCTTTCCTGTTACTTCTCCATCATGACTATCTGCAGAGTGTTTAGGTCTCCTCTTCTCTTGGCCCTTGACATTCCCAAAGCAATTCTAAGTCTTTTGTTCTCCTTTCCCTTTATAATACTTGAACAATTTCATCTATACACATATTATCAATCACCACTTATATCTTGCAATTTTAACTCTCTCCTAAGCTCCAGACCTCTATTTCCAATTACCTGCTGAGCGTTTATCTAATTTTGTTTCTTTTTAAACCTTTTCCTTTTCTCAATTTCCAAAATCAGTTCATTGTACCTATATAATAAATAATTTGGCTGGCCTTTTACCACAGTTCCTGAGAAGACGACTCTAAATCCTTGGGATCTCCCAACTGACAGGAGTGTCTTTGTTGTCCATGCTGAGCCCTGAAATTTTATGCTAATGAGGTGACTCATGGTAGGTCCCTGCATAGTTTATGCTAATGAGATGAGGGGTATGCTAAGGGGGTTGGCCTTTCTAGAAAAACCAACAGTGTGATTAGAGGATTGAGGCTCTAGAGGAATGAAGGTGGCACTGGAGATTAAGACTCGTGGACAATGATTCAATCAACCATGACTATGTAATGAAACCCCAGTAAAAGCTGGACAGTGAAGCTTGGGTGAACTTCCCCATTGGCAACACTCTATGCACTGTTACACATCCACGCACTAGGAGAGTGACGCATCTGGCTCCACAGGGAGAGCACACAGAAGCTTCAGTTTCAGCATCCTCTCACATCTTGCCCTGTGTATGTCTTCCTTTGGCTAACTCTGAATGGCTTCCTTTGGCTATAATAAAACTGTAATCTTAAGTATAATGCTTTCCTAATTTCTGTGAATCATTCTAGAGAATGCATGAACCTGAGGGGGTAGTAAGAAGCCCCAAATTTACAGCCAGCTGGTCAGAAATGGGGGTGACCCAAGGACCCCCCAATTTGCAGCTGGCATATCAAGTAGGACAGTCTCGTAGAAAACTGCCCTTAACTTGTAAAACCAGGCCCAGTTTTGGGTAGTGGGTATCAGAAGTAACTGCATACTTCTTCAATTCAAGCCTGCGATTGGCAAGTCATGAAATTTGTCCCTCTCCCTTATCTTTATAAACTATCAGCCATAATGTTGTCACAAACCTCTTAAACATCTCTCATAAGTTCACCCATTTGTTCACAAGCCAAATAACAAATGCCTTAGTGCAGGTCCTCATCCTTGGGCTAGACTACTGCCAGAGCCTCCAGACCCGACTCCTCACCCATATGCAATCTATGCCCATCTCCGATCTATCCTCCACGCCGCTGCCAAGGTGATCTTCCACGTTTGCAAATCACCCTCCTGCTAAAAACTTACAGGGCTCCTTATGAAGGTAGGTTACACCTACCACTCCAGCTATTTTAAAATCCCTTTAAATACCTATTTTAAGACCTTATTCTCTCTTTAAAATATTGCTTTAGAAGTATAACAGAGGGGAAATGTATGGTAATATGTTCCCCAAATTAGGTAACTAACTCTACAACAGTCTTTAAAAGTATTTAAGTTGTGAAAGGCAATCAAAATGCTATGAGCGCCCCAGTTTTGTGTAAACAAGCAAGGACTGAGAAGAGAAACAGATCTTCCCAGTTAATTCAGAAGAGCAAAATAAGATCATGCTTTTACTGCACTCTACCAGTAAGAGTAAAAGGAAGACTCTGCCTATGCTAAGACCAAACTACATTTTAGACAGCAGCTATTAAAAGGATTTTTCAACATGCCAACAGAAAAACTCTGGACTTAGGGGGAACTTGTTCTGGGTAGGCTTTAAACTCTAAAGCAGAGAGCAAGCTAAAAAGAAACACATTCTGATTACGTCTGAGATTTATACCAAGTCTGAGATTTATACCAAGTCTAGATGAAGTGATCAAAATAATCAGTGAGAAATATGCCAACTTTTAGAAAGGCATTTATTTGATCAAACTGTTATTCTCTAAGACTATGTGCTATTACTGTTTAGTATGCTTGTTAACTTATTTACAGAAACAGAGATCCAGAAAATTCTTAAAGCTAATCTCTAGCTGAGCAACCCTGAGGAAAGTGACTTAACTAAAGACCATAGTTTCAACAGTCCGGGCCCCTCTCCTGCCATGCAGAGGCTGCACAACTCAACTACAAATTCAAATCCACAAATTTGGGGTGTATACAAACCTTCCCCAACGTTTGATGTTAGTAAACACATACAGAAACTACAGTGTTGTCTTTCATTATCATGCAAGCGGCATTTTTATAACTATATTATTTTAATAAATTCTCACCTTCCATGGCCTTCTAATCCCTTTGAAGAAATCAGGCATCCACATCGGAAGAACAACAGCTTCCCTTAGCAACTTCTTAGCTTCTTCCAGATCTGCTATATCATCCCTGTGCAAGAACAGCAAAGTTTCATGTTTATTCAAGGGTGCCTTTGACTAATGGTTAATACCAGTTCTTTTAATTTTGTTACTTATGTAATTACTTTGATATTAAGAACATTATTTTAATTGTTGCTGCGTAAAATTTTATCAGAGATCAAATAACATTCCAGTTATTAACTAGAACATGTTATTCAATTAACAACTTCTGTCAGTTATGCCAACATCAAATGAACATGTAAAGTATCTTAATTATATTCTGAGGAAAGGACTGTCCTGTCAATTCCATACACTCATATTATGAAGTCATAAACAGGAGAAAATGGTTAAAAGAAAAGAGTCATACCACGCCGACCTGTAATTTAACTTCTCCACTACTTTAATTCAAGAATTTAAAAGATACTAACCAATGAATGCTAGGATTCCTGGACACAATGTCTCTCTCGAGGGCTTCCACCAGATCCTTATCATATCCAGCACCATCAAATCTTGGAATTTCACCATCACTCATACCATCTTGCATATTTTTCCGTCCCTGGGGACAGGTATTTTAAAAAGTACTGGTCAAAAGTAACGTAATTTTAATTAGCATCATTAAACTATAAAAATATAATGTAAACATTTAAAAAATAACTTTTGGTTACTTTAAGATAGTGTTTCTGACTACCCAAATGCCATCCTCTCCTTTGTAATTCACCATGAACAGATGAACTGGCCTGCTTCAGTATATACGTCTTCAAATTTACATTCCTGGGGGGAGAGCTGCAGGTAAGACTAGGAGGATCCTTGCAAAATACCTCTGAATTGGTGGGTACAGGGGATTTCCACCACAGCCCGAAAAAATTGAGAATATTAATGCAGAGAAAGAAAGAAAATTCAGTTACTGAAAACCTACTACACAGCAAGAAACCTCATATTTATCACCTCATTTAATACTCACAACCACAATGTGGGTATTACTATTCTGATTTTTACAAATAAGGAACCGAGACTCAAAAAAGATTAAATAACTTAATCAAGTTCACAACTGTTAAATATCAGAGTAGAGATTTTAACTCAGGTCTTCCGGACGCCCCAAACCCATGCCCTTTCCACAGCATCAGATCCGCTCACGCCTGGCTGAGCCAGCTTAAAGCTTGAGAGTGGTTGTGGAACTATTACATCCTCCAGCGCATTCAAGAAACAGGGTGCAGACAAGGAAAGGTTTGGGTCTGAACTGTAGCTCGCAAAGCCTTTTCCCTGTTGCTGTAAGTACCCCCTCAGGATTCAGTTTCTTCCTAGCAAAGTCCTTGGGCCACACCATAAAGTCACTGAAATGACAATGGTAAAAGGACCTTTTTAAATAGTATTATGAAGACCATTAAAGCAATATATCTACTCCAAAACCTTTATCTAATACTATGGTGGTTTTTAAAAAATGTATATGCTATAGTTCTGTGGGGTTCTGCCAAGATTTACTGAACTTTGAAGAGCTTTAAATGAAACATGCTCAGTTGCCAGAGATAGTTCATCTACTGGAACTGCTTCAGCAGACAGAGCCAAGTACCTCCCCAGAGCTTCAGACTCGCCACTAATGCCTTATACAAAAATAAAAGTGGAAAACCGTAAAAAAAAAAAAAAGTCAATTTCCTAAGCTTATTTGAGGAGAGAGAATAGGATGATCCTCTTCCCTCATACATACTTCATCAGAGATAAACCACAGCTGAGAAGCGACTAAATGGCTCCCTTTGGCAGATGCTCTAGTTCTTTAAGCCACCAGGTAAATCACCAAACAGTACTTTAGTGATTTGACCAAAAAAATGAATCATTCACTGTTTCTGGGTAGCATCATGGCTACAGTATTACACTAAATTTCCAGAAAGATTCTTATATTTCAGATGCCAGACACCAGTATTGACACTATTAAAAGGAGTAAATTTCTGGCGTACTTACACAACAAATATAATAATATCAATCAATTTAAAATAATCTCATCCTAGAATCATATTTTATAATACACACAGCCTTGGCCTGAGTCATACTCAAACAAATCACTGGGAACACTCTGTGATCATTCTAAAGATTTCTAGAAATAAGTCAACTAAAGGATGCAACAGAAACTGATGTATCTTGGATTTAACCAGCCTTCAAGTGGCACAGTAATTTGAGACTTACCAAAAAAATTAGTATTAAAAAAATGTAAGCACACAGCCATTTTAATATGAATATTCAAGTGGTAGAGAGGACTTGCAAACACTGCCATGGAAAAGGAACAGCTGGCAGTTATCTGAAAGTAGTAGAAATCACAAGATTTTAAGAACAATAAATATGTGAGCATCTATGCCTGGCACATTTTCTTGAGCATTAGGTTTTAAGTCAGCACATGAAAATACCTTTTCTTTCCTCCTTGAGCATCTACCTTGTGAGGAAAATAAGTAACAATTAAACAAACCCCAAAACACACAGAACTATAAACTGTGAAATGCTATGAAGACACTGAGTGGTCAGTGTGGCTAGTAGGAACAGGTCATAAAGACAGGCAGAGGCCAGCTCCCCTGGGCCTCCCCAGGCCATGGGAAGAGGCGTGGATTTACTATTCTGAGTGCATGGGAAATTTCTGAAATGTGATGAGCAGGGGAATGACAGGGTCTGCTTTACATTTTTACGTGGCCCTCTGGCTGCTGTGTGGAAAGATAGGTGAATGAAAATGTAGAAGCAAAGAAATAAAAGCCTGTTGCTATACTCAAGGACAGGCTTCTCCAACCACCAAAGCACGGGAATAAGCCAGTCAACTTACGGCCCTAGAATTCAAAGTTCCTCAGAGGTAGAGATGAGACGTGAATATAAATTAAGTTCAAAGAAGATTCAAGGGACTTTTTCAAATAAAAATGGCAAGGTAACTTTTAAAAAAATTAATTTAGGGAAACTAAAAATAATTAATATGCTTACACTGGGAAATCAACAAAATAGATGACAATTATCCTCCATAACAAATAGATAAAGTGGAATAGGGATCTCAAATATAAGTGACTGAGGTTGCAGTTAACTAACATGCTGGAGTAACTGCAACACCTAAAAGAAGCATTTTTCAGGCAATAAAGCTAACTCATCCTAGATATTACCTGTGCAGTTTATACTAATAATACTAACTGCAATGTTACTGAAATGATCTTAGAATTCTTTGCTTAAATTTTCACACTGACAATAAGGTCAACGTTGGAAAGAATCAGACATTTAGCATAAATATTGGTGTACTTTTTTGTTATTAAAGCAAAATATTTTAGCTCCTTTTTACTATTATCTGAATTTACCCATATCAAGAAAGTTTTGTTAATGATCTTCCATTAGTAATTTAATCATTCTATTTGAGACAAATAGTGCTAAAGTTAGTGACTAACCCAATATCATAGTCAATTAATGACCCAGTTGGCCTAAAGGCAAATTATTTTTCATTTTATTTTTGTTCCTTTTACCTTTGGCAGATGAAACACAATGTGGTCAGTCACTACCTCTAGGTCTTGCATTTCAAGAGAAATATTGACAAGTGAATTATACTCAGAGAAGGATGGAGGATGATCAAGGGTGCGAAGCTATGCCACATCCAAAGGGCCAAGGATACCACAGACATTTAAGCTGCGAATGAAAATACTAATGAAGCAACACATAACCAACTAACCTGTTTACCTCTATTTATTCTATGTTCCTCTAAAGGAAAGAACAAAGACCAATATAAAGCAACAGCAGAGGTAAATTTCAGATCATCAAAAGAATTTTCTAATCATGATTTCTGTCCAACAAAAGAGTCATCTCTCTTGTTAGGTAGTAAGCTACCCAACATCAGAATTTCAGAGTAGTTAGTAATTAAAACCACTGGCCCACAGTGGTTTTTATTACTAACTAGGGATGCATAGGCTTAATTATAGTTGACCTTTGCTTCTTTCTATAAAGCCACTGCCTCCACTTGCCCACTTATTCATCTGTTTCAATTGCCCAAAGAACATGCAAAATTTCTTGGAAATCTCATCATTTCTCTCTCTTTTTTTTAAGTGCTCTGCATTCTGTATCATATCTGTGTTCCCCACTTTCCTGTTATCTTATAGCTAACACTTGAACACTGCCTACTCTGTGCCAGGCACTATTCTCAGTGCCTGATGTAACCATTTTAAAGGTCCTATGATGTAGGGACTCTTATTATTTCCATCTCATAGCTGAGAAAACTGAAGTACAGAGAGGTCAAGTAAATTGCTCCTGGGCACACGACTAGAGCCTAAGCAGTCTGGGTCCAGAATCAGTGCTTTCTACCACCTGGCACAGAATGACATCCTGCTGTACACTGTGAACTCCTACCCCAGTGTGAGCAGCACACACAGGAAAAGTTAGACAAGATCTCTAAGCTGCACACCACTCTAAAACTTTATTATTTCACAAAAGAAAAACAGGTTGATAAATGCAAAACAGTGCTTTCCTAATTTCAGTGCTGTGCTCTGCACTGGAGTATTAATACAAAACACATGTACACTGAAATAATAAATCCACAGAATTCTTCAATCTTTATCAACAAATGTGTTCTTTCAACAGCATTAACAAATACTTACTATGTGCCAGACACTATTCCAAGTACTGAGAAATAACTACGAACTAGACAGACAGAAACCCCTGACCTCATGAAGCACACAGTCACGTGAGGGAACATAATACATAAATAAGTAAAACAATTAGGGACAGAACAGTAAGTAACTACTACTATAATCTAATGCAATAAGGTGACAAAACAGTCAAAGCAAAAACCAATGCTATAAATGAGCTGCCGTCAGAGAATTTGTAGAGTGGTTTACTATACAAAAGACAGAAAGTATGTCTTTCAAAATGAATCGCTAATAATACAAATGGCCAATAGTCACATGAAAGATCTTTCAACCTCATAAGTTATCAGGTAATTCACAGTAAGAGTTAACATGCTGGTTAAATCACAATGAGATATGATTACGAACACAAGAGACAGGCAATATCAAATGCTGATGAAGATGTAGAGCAACTAGACGTTTCATACTCTGCAGGTAGCAGTGGAAATCCGTATAAACCCTTTGGAAAATTATTTGGTGTTGTCTACTACAGTTTAACATATACATATCCTATGAGTCATCTATTCCACCCCTAGGTATATGCTCATGCACATTACACCAAAGAAGAAGCATATAATTACCCAAAGCAACATTACTAATAATAGTTCCAAACTAACAGCAACCCAGATATCCATTAACAGTAAAATAGATTAACTGTGGCATAATGCTATATATCAATGAAAATAAACAAACTTCAGATGTATGCAACAGTATGGAAGAGTCTTTAAACATGTCGAACAAAAAAGCCAGACCAAAAAGAATACTTACTGTACACAGTTTCAAAACAGGCACAACTAATATATGGTATGAGAAATCAGAGTAAGGTTACTTTGGGAAGGAAGGGGTAAGACAGTGTTTACTTTGGGGAGAAAGTGGCCGAGATTGGGAGGGATCATGAATAAGGGTTCTGCAGAGCCAAGTGCTCTCTGTCCTC